GTGTTCTGGGGAGTGAGACACAGATGGTTCTTTATCAAGACAAGACATATCTGAAAATATTTGTTCATTTAACAAATATTTACTGAACCCCTACTTCAAGTAAAGATTATTCAGCTGTGAACAAAATGGATCAGGAAATGGATTTCCTACAGGGAAGTTCACCACTGTTTGAGCTTTGCTTGTGCCCAAAGGGCTTCTAATCAACCTTTTTAAATCTTTATATATTTATAAAAATATAAAAATGTATAAAATATATAAAATGTAATACAGCTTTTATAAAGAAATAGAATGTTTCCAGCATCTCAGGACCAGCCTCCAACGCCTCCCAGCCCTGTGATGCTTCCATCCAGCTTTCTCCTCTCATAGGGGGAACCACTACCCTGACTTATGAAATTACTCTCTTGCTTTGTTTTATACTTTTACCACCTAAGAATACATGCCTAAATGATTTCATTTAGTTTTCCCTGTTTTGTAGCTCTATATATTTATTACGTATTGTGTACGTTTTTGTGTCATATATTGATTCATCCACATTTTATGAGTAGCAACATTATCATTGATGAATAGCATTTTCATCGTGTGGATGTACCACATTTTAGATATCCATTCTACAGTTGGTGGACATTTGGGAATGTTTCCATTTCGAGGCTGTTGTGAACAATACTGCTACGAGCGTGCTTGTGCTTGCTTCTTGGTGCACTTGGAAGAATTTCTCTAGAGTACCTATCTACCCAGGAGTGCACTGCTGGGTCATAGCATAAGAGTATTCTTAACTGTACTAGATAATGCCAAATTGTTTTTCAAAATCATAACGGTTGACAGTTGACATACTTAACAGTGAAAGAGAGTTCCCATTGTTCCATATCCTTGTCAACACTTGATACTATCAGACTTTTAAATTCTTGCTAATCTTATATGTGGGCTTAGAGTCATATCACGTGGCTTTAATTAGCATTTCCCTGGTTACAACTGAAGTTGAGCAGCGTTTCATGTGAGTTTTGGCCATTCGGATTTCCTTCTTTGTGAAGTGCCTGTTCAAGTCCTTTGACGTTTGTCTACTGAGCTGAGGTGCTGGACATCTTTCACTGGCCCCTCCAGATACCCTCACAACTTCTTCACTCTGCTCTGTGTCCCTGGAGGCTGACCCAGATGGAGTGCAGCAATGGGCTCCCTGATCCTCTGACTTCAGCCAATGGGGAACATTGGAGGGAGGGAGGAGGGAGAGGCTGGGCTGTTTAGTTCCTCAGCTCCCTATCTGCAGAGGTACTAGGGGCTGACTGCATTCTTTGACCCAAGGCCACAGCTCCCGGCAGGCAACTCTCTCCAACAACTTTTTCTGTTTCTGAGTTCTGGGGACTATTACCACTCCTTGTCCTTTCAGACCTAAAAGAGTAATCTGGTGGTGTCCCTATGCTTACTCTCAACTTTGTAAACTGTCTATTTATAAAGCGCTCTACAAGTTAACCAATATGAGTTTGCCTCTGTTTCCCGACGCAGTTGGTTACCATTTTCTAATGAATTTTCAGACATCTTTCATGTTTTGGAAATACTCCTTTGATGGTTATATATGCACAAATACCCTCTCCCACTCAAATCATTTTCCACCTAGCAGCTTTTTTAAAAAACACTTTTTATTATAAAATAAAAAACAGATATAGGAAGCCACATGAAATAAAGGTATAGCTTAATGGATTGTTTTAAGGCAAATACCCTTGTAAATACCATCAAGGTCAAGAAATAGAACTTAGCCAGCTAACTGAAAAGTCCTCCATTCACTCCACCCAATCACAGCCTCCTCCTTCCCCTCTCACAGTAACCTTTATCTTTAATTTCTGTAGTTACGACTTCCTGTGTTTCTTTACAGTTTTATCATTTAGGGTGAATCTCTGAGTAATACAGGTTAATTTTGCCTATTTTTTATGTTTTATAAGTGTCTTAAGTCTAAAATTTCCCTCCTCCTCCAACTTTTTACTTGCAACTTATTTGTGGAAGAACCTAGGTTATTTGGCCTTTGGATGACCTAAGCCTGGATTTTATCTGCTTCCTCATAGCGCAGGTTAATATGTTCCTCTGTCCTCTGTATTTCATGAAAATTAGTAGTTCAATGTAGGGGCTTGATCAAATTCAGGTTAAATTTTTTTTTTGGTCAAAATATAAGTGGTGTTGTATTCTTTCAACAGAAGGCACATAATGTCTAGCTTTCTCTATTTTTGATGTTAGCACATTTTCCACTTCACACAGGAAAGACAAGATAAATTTTTCATTCTTTCCCTCTATTTACCAGTTTTCAAGATAACGAGTTTTGTAAGATAATGAGCTTTCCTATCGTTTTACAAAAGTGAACCAGATTTTTTTTTTTAATGAACTAATAATATGTGTAAACACATTTAGTGTTTTCCAGCCTCTGTAGTTGCTATCCTTACTGAAGCTCAAATTGTTCCTCCTTTCACCATTGGGAGCCCCATAAGTTGACTCCTGAGTCCTTTTGACCGGATCCAGTCGAATTTGATAGGGTTCTTGCTCTCTGGGATGACAAGATGTTCCAGGCTCACCTAGCATGTTTCCTGCCTCAGTCCCAGAATCAACCTTTTCTCTGAGATATGCTGGTTTCTTTTGGTGAGACATGGTATTTCAAGATCACAATACGGGCACCAGTGATGCTCACTGCTCCTGGATCTGTCATTGTTTCTAGAGCTATTGAGTGGAAAAAACCCACACTAGATGTCCTTGTTCAGGTTTTCTGATAGTTTGCTGAGAGGTTTTTATTTTTTGATTTTAACCGTGAATAGAAGTTGAATTTTTATCAGTGCTTTCTCTGCATCCTTTGAGAGGATCACATGGATTTTCTTTTTTTTCCTACTAATATAGTGAATTGTAACTAATTTCAAATGTTAAAAACCAAGACTGCATTCTAGGGATATACCTGACTTGCTCAACATGTCTCATTTTTTTGAGGTAGTGCTGTATTTGATTTGCTAAACTCTTATTAAGGATATTTATGTCTGTATTCATAAGAAATATTGATGTGTAGCTTTATTTCCTTAAATGCTTTTGGATTTTTTTTTTAATCAGTGTAATATTAGCCACATAAAATGAATTGGGAAGTGTTGCCTTTGCTTCTATTTTCTGGAAGAATTGTTGGAGAATTGACATTATTTCTTCCTTAAATATTTGACAGAATTCACCAGTGAAACCATTCTGGCCTGGAGTGGGAGGTTTCTTTTGTGGCAAGGTTTTAAACTCTAAATTCAATTTCTTCACTAGGTACAGAACTATTTGCGTGATCCATTCCTTTGCTGAGGAAGCTTTGGTAGTTCGTGTGTCTCATGAAATTTTTGAATCTTATCTAATTTCTCAAGTTTATTGGCATAAAGTGATTCATATTATTTCCTTATTATCCTTTATTATTTCCAGGATCTGTGCTCGTATCCACTTTTTCATTCCTGATATTGGTAATTTGTGTCTTCTCACTTCTTTTTCTGATGGGTCTAGCCAGAGGTTTATTGATTTTATTGATTCTTTTCAAAGGACAAGCTTTAAAGGACAAAACGATTATTCAACTGGTTAATATGCACTACTGAAAACTAAACGTACACATCTGGGAATGCATCCTGAGGGACTAGTGTAATGCGGGTTGAGGATGATAGTTGAATATAAGAGTGGATAAGAGAGTTTATCAATATGGGGGCATTAACCTGTGACTTAGTGTTTAGCATCCTGAAAAGACACGTGAAGCCAGTCTTAATATGCTGCTTTATGGCTCCTTTAATCTTGAAAACACACACACACACACACATGATGGCCTGTAGTAAATGAGGAAAGATGCTAGGACTGCCTTGGCAAAGTATTGAAAAAGGGCCAAAAGGTGCAAAGACGTGGTCAGTGCTAAAATGGATGTTATCGAAATCTGAGCCCCATCAACTGATTGTGTTCCTTCTGAGGACCCTGAGGACTGCCTTGGTGAAGACAGGGAGCAATGTGCCTGTGAAAAGGGCCCAGTATCCGTGAGAGGTCAGTGTAGGTTGTCCTCTGTTGGCTGAGGTAATAGTAGGGGACACTGCTTTGAAACTGTCCCTAATATTAATGAGCGTGACAGAATTCTGGAATAACAGAGACTAAGTTTAACACTTACCCGTCAAAGTGAAGGTCGATGTGATTATATAACAGGCAGCAAAGCCACAATGATAACTACATGGCACTGACCCACAGGGCTCTGTGGCAAAGTGGTGAGATGAATGGCAGACAATGAAGGTTTTTCTTGACTTAACCAAAAAAGATTGGGAGCAGGAAAGCAGAAGGTTGATGTCAGATGCCAGAAGGAAAAATCATGATCACTTGCCCGGTTTCCAGACTTGGGCCAATTCTCATATCCAGAGCTCAGTGATGAAGGCAGGAGCCAGGTCCCTTTAGGAAGGACCCTACCACACCAGGAAGCATATACTGTTGTGTTTCACCCAATCTTTCTCCAAACGGACCTATGGCCACTCTCCAGAGTACTGAATACCAGAGAGTGAGGAGGACCCAGCTCTTCTGAGGGCTGCTAAATAAAGGATCTGAGCTGATATGTTTCCAGGAAACCCCAAGTGCCAATATAACTTCTTTATAGAACGGAGGTCTAAGGAAGCCAGGATAAGTTGAATCCTGATCCACTTCGTAGTAGATCCAATGTGGTCTTTTCCCTGGGACCCGAATATATAATTGAGATGGATATACTTGGCGGCTGGCAGAAATCTCATGTTCATTTCATAATCTGTGGAGCAAGAGTCATTATGGTGGGACAAGGAAAGTGCATGCCCCTGAAATGCTACCCCACCTCAGCAAGATAATAAATCAAAAGCAATACTGATTCTATTGGAATGGTAGATGTTAGACTTAGAAGATATAGGAGTAGTAGTCCTCATTATATTCCCATTCAATTTACCATTCTGACACCTGAACAAAAGGGGATGATTATGGTGGAAGATGGTGGATTACTGTGAAATAACCAAAGGATAGCCTTATTGTGGTTATACACGATGTTTATTAGAACACATCAAAACAGCCTCTGGCGTTGGGTTTGGGCTACTGACCTGGTAAATGCATTCTTTTAATCTCGATTATAGAAAAGAATCAGAAGGCAGTGCATTCCCTTAGGACAGCAGTACATATTCAGTCTTGCCTCAGAGCTGCATTAACGCTTCCGTTCTCTGTTACAACACAGTCTGGAGGGGCCTTGATTGTTTGGACAGTCCATGGAAGGTCACACTGGTCCGCTGTATTTGTGACATCCCAATAAATGGACCTGAAGAGCAGGAAGTGGCAGGTTGTTTGAATGCCCTGGCAAGACACGTGCATGCTGGAGTGGACCAGCTAGTATTCAGGAAAAAGCTCTCTGAGGAGGATACATGTAAGCAGCAACGAGGGGAGGGAACAGCTAGTGTAATAACCCTAAATCTGAATGAATGCGGCATGTTTGAGAAGCAGGAAGAAGGCCAACGTGGCCGGAGCATAGAGGACAAGGCGGGTGTGGTGAGAGTAGAGGTGTGAGAGGCAGTTAGGGGCCACGTCGTGTAGGGTCATTGCTGAGAAGCTAAGATGTGCAAGTTTCAGGTGACCCATTTGAAAGTTTTTTGATCTAAACGTGGTGGGAAAAAAAAATGGGCTCTCGGCAGGGAAATGATGATGTCTTAGTCCATTTGGGCTGCTACAACAAAATGCTATAAATTGAGTGGCTTATAAACAACAGATTTATTTCTCCCACCTCTAGAGGCTGGGGGGTCCAAGATCAGGATGCTAGCAAATCTAGTGACTGGTGAGAGCCCACTTCCTGGTTCACAGATGGGCCTTCTTGGGGCGTGCTCACGTGGAGGAGGGCGACCAGGGAGCTCTGTGGGGTCTCTTTTACAAGAGCAGTACTTCCATTCCTGAGGGCTCTAGCCTCATGACCTAAGCACTTCCCAAAGGCCTCACCTCCTAATACCATCCCGTTGGGGATTAGGTTCCAACATATGAATTTGGGGGGAGACACAAGCATTCATTCTGTAGCAGATGATGTGATTTCTGTTTTTTAAAAAGAACCCTTTGGCTGTGTGTGGAGAATGGACTGCAGGGGAGTGGAGGTGCGAGCAGGATCCTTAGGAAGGTTTTGCATTCACACAGGCTGGAGATGCTGGTGGCTTGCTCTGAGGTGGCCATAGAGGGATGGAGGGAGGTAGATAAATTTTGGGTGTATTGTGTAGGAGTATTAATGTATTAGATATGAAGAATCAAAAGGGAGGCATCAGAACGACAACAAAATTTTTAGCTCCAACAATCAGATGGTAGTGTCTTTCGCATGGATAAGAAAGACCAACAGAGAAGGACATTTGGGGCAGGGCAAAAAATACGTGGGAATTAAAAATCCCTTTTAAGTCTGAGATGCCTGGTAATCAACTGACTCTATGAATCTGAATTTCTGAGATGGTATGAGGCTAGAGATGAGGATCTGGAATTGTTGGCGCAATTGTGGGTTTTAAAGCTGCCTTTTGAGGCTGGGGAACATCTAGACAGTTGGAGGCAGCGTCCTGGTGTCAAAGTGCTTGGGCTTTGCAGCCAGGCTGAAGTGAGTCTGAATCCTCCCCCTACCACTCACTAGTGATGTAGCTCTGGGCATGTCACTCCTTCTGTCTCCAACTCCTCAGCCACAAAATGGGGATTGTAGTACCCTCCACTCAGGGTCGTGGGGAGGATTAAGAACATATGTAAGTCTCCTGGCATTTGGAGGAGAAGATGTTGGAGATGTCGACATCATCATTCACCTGGTGAAAGTTACTTGAGTTACAGCTTTAGTCCCTAGGAGTAAACACAATAATTTTACAAACCCAAACCTTTGAAATATTAACTTATGTTCTGTACTACCAAAAAAAGTCTAGAAAAATGCTTATACAGACCTGCACTAGGGTGGGGGCAGGGCGTAGAAATCAATCCTGGTATTGGTAGCTGCCACATAGGAATGATTCTGTGCACAAACTCCCACTTGCTTTCTAGTGGTCGGTAAAGCTGTAAAACATCTTTGTCAGGAGAGAACACATAGGTGATCTTAAAGAATAAACATGCATTTTGAAGTCAGCCAGACCAGGGTTCAGATCTCCAGCTTGTCTTGACCTTACCTTGAGTGTGAACTTCAGTCAGGTAGGAGGGCTGCAGCAACACTGACTTCCCATCTGTAACCTCATTGGCATGAGCAGCCTGCATCGACTTCTTCGGGATCCCCATATTCAATAAATATGTCAACTGGCATCATTGTCATTTTTCCTTTAATGTAGCTCGTCAGGAGCTTAGCATTGAGAAGCCCTTGAGTTTGAAGCTTATGGAACAATTAAACTCCCTCTTGGGAGAATCCAGACCTGGAGACTGTCAGTGCATAGGGATGAGCACTTGTGTATTTGTCTCCCTCTTGCCAGAAAAATGGAATGTTCCAAAGTTCCTCAAGGACTTTATTTCAATGAGCCATGTGTACATTGCATGCTATGCAATTAATCTAGAAAACTATTCCTCTAATAAACTCAGGGAACCGGCCCATCTCCTATTAATTTCTTTTAATCAGCTATCATCAGGAAAGCACTGACTGGCTGCCTGATGAGATTCCTCCCTGACTGATGGGAATGGTCAGTAATGCTGGACCAATGATGGCCTAGCTGATGATCAGAGTGCTGACGTGTCCATGCTGTCATCTCATGACACTGCTCTGAGTCAGTTATGGCAGATAGCAGCATCCCCATCCTGGAGCTCAGAGAGATGAGGTGACTGCCCAAGGTCACAGGGAGGTTTCATTTCTTTGCAAAGCCGGGTCATTAAAGGTACGGGCTCCGGAGTTAGGCACATCTGCATTCAAATCCTGGTTCTGACAGTCTGTAGCTGTGTGACTGACCTCAGCGGCCCTGGGCAGTGCCAACCTTATCCCCATGCCCTCACCACTGCAGGGAACCCTGCCCACCTTCTGGCTGCCAGCAGCTGCATTTATGTAACCGCCAGAGCCTGCCTTGCCCCCTCCCCCACAACAGTCTAGAAGCGACAGAGAATTCGGGCTCCTTGGGAGCAGCCTCAGCCAAGATGGATTGGAGTTGGTGAAAAATACCCAGCTCCCTCACGCCTCGTGTCAGATGATTCTGAGACATGAGTCTACACTGGCTCCTGGGTTTCCCCAGCAGGATTAAGCTCTGGTTATCCACCCTAGCAACTTGCTTGAAAACGCACATTACATTGGCTGCCCACCTTCCTCGTCTCATTTCCCATTTCCCTACTTTTTCCTTGAGATCTCTTCTTAAGTAAATCCCTTGTACTTGGGTCCTTAACTCAGGACGTGTTTCTGGGGAACCTGAACTAAGACAGTGACCTTTGACAAACCGCTGAACTCCTCTCAGACCCTCAGTTTCCTAACCTGTAAAAAGAGAATCTCTATAGCGCCCCCCCCTCAGGTTTATAGGGAAGATTAAAGGACATATTGCATATGAAGGGTTTTGCAAAGTTCTGTTCATACCAGCAAAATGCATCACAGCAAAAAATGAGAAAAGACCAAAATGTCCAGCAAAAGGGGGATAGGTAAATTAATTAGGTTTTATCTGAATGAAAGAATATTACATAATCAGTAAAAACTAATGTTTGCAAAGAGTATTCAAGGACATGAAGACTTGTACATGAAAACTATACACTATACGATCCAGCTCGGAGATCCGTGGGAGAAAATTCTAAAACTGAAAATATAAAATTACCTCAATTTCCTTGCAAAGGCATTAAAAATACATTAAAAGTTATTTATACCTTGGCGATGGTAAGTTATTTTCTTTATGCTTTTTCCTATTTTTCAAATTTCAAAATTTTCCAAACCAACAGTATTATGTTCATAATCAGGAAAAAGGCAACGTTAACAGAAATTGATCTTAACTTCAAGATTTCAACTACAATTAAAAAACGATGTCTAAAAACTGTATAAAATCTCACTTTGTTTTTGATTTCCTTTTTCCTGGTCAAATGCACTAATTATTAAAAGGAAATTCAGCTTTCATGCAATATCTAAGTTGACAGTAAATATGGGCAAGGCTTTGCAAAGGCCTATGGAGTGTCTAAATCTGAGATCCTTTGAGTCCAGGCTTCAGGCTACTGGCTCTCTGGGGCGCTCCCCCTCTGATCCTGCTCTGAGAATATATTTCTTCACAATTTCAGTTCACCTGCTCTTCTGGCTCCCATTTGTGGTGTTGATTCCAAGCTGGAGTACCAGGTTGGGCAGTTCCATCAACAGGCTCAGCATCAACGGCTGGTTTGGCCCAGCTCACTTGACCTAGCTCTAGATTCATTACTTCTGAGGGCTCTTTGACTTATCTGCCTCGGCCCTATGTTGCTCACCCCTGTACATCAAACTTCATCTGCATCCAACCTCCCCAAACCTCCATTTAACCACACCGTTTGTAGGGAGAAATTAGTCTTACAAAGGAGAAAACCCATGTATCCCTCCATATGTCCATCTATCCACCTGTCCATCCATCCATCCAGTCATACATCCATCCTTCCATCCATCCATCCATCTATCCACCCTTTCACTCACCAAATAATCACTGGGTATGCAACTCTGCAGGCACTGTGCTAGATTCTTGCAATGCAGAGTTAACTCAGACACTGTCCCTACCACACTTCCCAGCAATGTGATAGCAAAGACAAGACACTCATGCCTCACTCAACCCTCCCATATCCATATGCAGCAGACGCTTGTGCTGCCTGCTGCATATCTCCTCAGCTCACCTGATTTCAGCACAGCCATGGTGGACAGTTCCATGCACTTGGCCAGCATCCCTTACCAAGTGGACCTCAGCTGTCTCGGGGATCAGCCTCACAGAGGAGCAATGGGGAAGTGAAGGGGAATTTGAGGCCTCTCCCCCTCAGTGGTAACTAGCTCATTAACATACTTTACTGGGTTTCCCCCCTGCTCTGTCTCACTTTGCCTCTCTCTTACTTCTGCTTCTGGGTAGCATCTGGCAAATAAGCTGTTTGTTGTCAGTTCCTTGTCCCAGTCTCTGCTTTTGAAAGAACCTAAACTAAGATACCTTGACAGGCAGTATGAATGAATGAATGAATGAAAGACTGATGATATTATAATGAGAGGAGAGGAGGACACTGTTGTAGGTGGACAAATGACCACCTGCTGCTGATGCAGAAAGACACCGTCACCTCATTATCCATTTACAATGAGGCACCACAGCTTCCAAGTGTGTGCCAGCATATTGGCTTGGTGGACTGCCTTAGAAATGCTGAGCATTAGAGTAAGGGGGATGTGACAAATAATAATAGCTACCTTTGTAGGGACACTGCCATTTGCTAGGGACTTTATCCACATCATGTCATTTATTCTTCACAAACCTCCTGGGACCCGGGCATTAATTAATCCCATGTTATGCGAGGAAACTGAGGTTCATAGAGGTGGCTCAAGGTTACATAGTGGCAGAGCTGGATCTCAGCTGGATCTGTCCACACTCTTGCGCCTGCCTCTCTACATGTTCTATCCGGTCAGGGTCCCAGTTCTCCAGCTGCTTGACAAGCAATTTATAATGCACACCCTTGAAATCAGGGTGTGCCTTCTCACTGGGTCTAGGGCAGCCGTAGCAGGTCTGGGCAGTGAAGTGTAGCAAATAATGCACAAGTCTATTTGTTACTCACTGTTAACCAACACTTAAGATAAAACACTGCTTTATTCATTCTGTCTGGCAGCTCAGGCGTGCTCCACAGTATCTATTACACGGTGATGTTAATTAGGTCCACAGCACTGCACCTTCTGTATGCAAGGCTTGCTGTGTCACCCGCTGGTCTCATCTCTCCAGAGGCCTCTGGTGCAGCATCAGATCTGAGGATAGAGAGAATCTCTGGGAGGCTGGTGTCACCACCAGAGCCACTGAGCCGAGTATGAAAATTTACTACCTAAGCATTCTGCCTACAGCATTAGGGTCCAGCAACCTGACATGCTTTTCAAGGTCGCTATGAGATCATCTTTCAGGCCAGGCAATTGGGTTAGAGTAGCAGTTCCTAGCACCCCTGAATGGCAGAACTGTAGAAGCTCTTAGTGATCACATCCTTCAACAGGCTCATTTTACAGACAGGCAAACTGAGGCTTTGAGAGGGAGAGCGACGCTTCTAAAGTTATAGAAATACTAGTAGACTCAGATTAGATCCCAGATATTTTTGCTTCTAGTTCAGGCTCTTTTTAATGAATCATTTCGAGGTCCGTGTCCTTCACCCTAGTCTCCTCCTATTGTGTGGCTGTAGAATGGATGCCTGCTAAGTGTTGACCTCTAGTAGCGATACTGGCTCAACACAAGGTTGACACGGGGAAGCCATATTGTAGAAGAGAAATCATATCGTAACTTTGAATGACCTCTGATTAGCTAACCCAGACATGCTCTGTAGATTTCATGGTCCCTTCCAGCGGCTATAAATTGATAACTTTGTTCTTTTGAGTTTCTTAGGAATGTGATGACCCCCAGGCAGAAAGTCTATGCTGATAGCCATCGTCAATGACAATTGAAAGATCAGGGTATTGCTCCGGTCTCTGGGTCTCTGATGCATATCCAGTAAACCAAAAGACTATCAGGAACTAAGACGAGATGTCTGCCCCCACGTGGAGATCAGATGGAGGCCCCCATCTGGAGACCAGATGTCTCCCTGACCTGAAGGCCAGCCCCCTATGTAACTGGCCTGTAGTCTGTTCTGTAAGATGGTTCTTTCAGACATTAGTCAGCCATCTTCCACCTTGCTAGCAAGCTGTAATAGAAAACGCTTTCTCTCCCACCACCTTGCCTCTTGACTATTGGCATGTCTTGTGCTGAGCAGACGACCCCCCTTGGGCAGTAACGGTAGGAACTCGGAGAAGGTTACTCCCTTCTCCCACTACATCCATTTCCCCTGAAGTTCTTGTAAGTAATTCTGTGAATTAGGAAGAGCACTCATTCGTAATTCCATTCTGCATGTGAGATTGAGGTTCAAAGAGGGAAGATGAGAGCAGCTGAATCAGGTTTAAATCCAGGTTTCTGGGGTAGCACTTTCTAACCAAACATGTGGTCTGCCTAAGGGTGAATGGATGAATGGATAAAAGAAGGAATGAATGGATGTTAAGCTTACTACAGAACAAATTAAGGTAGACTTAGATTAATGTTTGAAAGCTCCCATCCAGTATATTTGCATTTCAACAAAGTCAAGGTGTCAAGCCCCCTGGAGCTGCTCTTTGGGCCACAGCAGTGAAGTGTGTATTTCACAGCCTCAAATCCTCCACTCCTACCACCACCTAGTACTCAGCCTAGTTGGGAGCAGGCCCTGGGTGAGGGCTTCTAAAATGGAACAGAAGTGAACACTTTGGAACCAGGACATCCAGCTCTCCAGGAACAACTTGGGGAGGCACTGGGGTATTAAGGGAGCAGTCTCGCCCTCATATCACCACAGTTGTTTTTTCAATCTTTAGTCAACACTGGCCTAAAGGAGGAAAGGAAAAGGACAGACAGGAACACGAAGACTGAGATACAGGAAAGAGATATAAACACGAGATCACCTGCTGACAGTCAGGGAAGAGCTCCTGGCCAGCTCCCCACCCCAGGGACTGGCCCGGCTGGAGTCAGTGTCAGCCTTCACTAGGACTGGGAAGGAAGAGAGGTGGCCCTGACATCCTGCTGAGCACAGTCCCAGGGGGGCTGGGCAGAGCGGTGACCCCAGTAATACGGATGAAATGTCAGGAGATTGGATAGAATTTCAAACAGAAACTTAACCCAGGACCTCTGACCAGGAGTGATGTAAAAACTGCTTAGAACTGACAATGACCTGCTGTCCAATCCTCAGCAATGTGCACACACAAGCATTCTCAACTACACAACCTCATGCATTTTCACACCAAACATAAAGAAGTTACTCACAAAAGCCTCACATATAATGCAAATATGCTAGTACACACATGCCCACCTAAATCCATCAAGTCAATTTATGTCTTTCACCTCTCCCAGCCTCTCCCCATCTCTCTCCTTTCTTTTTCTCTCTCATAGATGCTCTTGGTATTGAAGTTTTGTCAGCTTTCTATATGGGCCTGTAAGCTAGGTTTGCTCCACTTTGCCCAGAAGTTTAAGGGGCTGCCCTTGTTTATGAACTTGTGGAGGGATGGGGAGGAGGAGGGCGTCAGCCTCACGGAAATGTCCTGCTCGGAGCAGGCATCTTCATGTTCATTCTCAGCAGCAGCAGCAATACCTGCCAGCTCTCAGTGAATGGTTACTCTCTGCCTGGTCTTGTGCTGGGCCTTGGGACCTGAGCAATGAGTAAGGCTGGGTTTTGCCATCTCTATTCATCTCACCCCAAGAACAATACAAAGTTGAGTTGAGAAGACAGAGCTGACACACAGAAAAGCGAAATATGAAAGTAATTGCTAAGTGCCAAATGAGACATTTAGACAACAGTTCTCTAGAAGCTCGGAGGATGAGTCACCTGCAAGGGCTGGGAGGCCAGCAGGACTTCCCTGAGGAGGGGTCTTGAAGGGTAGGTAGGAATCAGGGCAACAGAAAGAAATGGGAAGTGCCTGGCAAACACAAGATGTTTAATAAATTTTGTTGGACGAATTAATGACAGGACAATCCAGTCAAAGGCAAGGCACGGACCGAGTGGGGGCCTTTATGAGGTCTCAGAAGAAAGGGAGGAAATATTGGAAAATACTTTTCAAAATTCAGTACTTTCCTATTTATCCTCTCTTCAGATCCTCACGATACTCTTGAGGGTAGGTTGGTTGAGGATTATGTCCTCAT